GGTGAGAAAATTTACCCCCTAAGATTCGATAAAATGTTGGTTCTGATGAAATACAATAAGAAATGAAAATAAAGTGCAATCATTTCCATTAAAATGGTAATTGCTGTTCATCCTTAAGTGCAGTGTATGAAATGTTAGCTTCGAAAACAGTTCAAAGTCCGTGAGCTATTCGCTTTTGATTGTCCTTGATTGGTTTCTATAAGCTCGTTCAGTGTTTCGGAATGCTTCCATATGTCCTCATTTTCAAAGACAGTTACCTAAGGGTCCGAGTAACAGAAGCCAGGGTTGAGAACTCAGTAAGGCCGCCTTTCTACTTCGCGACTGGAGCGATTTGACCGCGCGATTGCGACTGACGCGCTTCACCGCTTATCGCTAGACCGCTGCAAAATTCGGAATGAGTCTTGTTTAGTTCAGTTAGCAGTTGGAGCGGACCTGCCATTGCAAGGAGGAACGCAATCAGTCACAGCAGCGCGTTTCTCAGTTCGCGTGACTGAGTGGCACGAGTCGCGAAGTATAAACTTAGCCCGGGGGTACTGCGGAGGTATTTGAGTTGTATTCCTTAGTGAAAGTGCACCGCTAATAGAAAGCCTTGATCTCACAGTCTGGTGCGTTACGTTCGTTCATCTCACGGTCCAGTGTGTCACGTAAAAAAGCGAATTTTTTTATCGGCATCACCGCTGAAGAGAACATTTAGAGAATTTACATGTAGAGGTCAAGTATGCTTAGGCGGGGAGGGGGGGTGTCACCTGATGGACTCATTGTGCAGTGCTGGATTTGCCGTAAAAGAGATAAAAAAAGGAACCGAAATGTCTTGGGGAAAACTACTTCAAGCAAGAATAACTCGTTTCATCTCTGTCTTAGACGAGCTGCTTTTACTCTGTCAGCTTGAGGCTGTTTGTAAGCAAGAAGCACGTTGGAAGGGGAGGGAAACCGTCCCTGGCGTTTTTTCCTACAAGTAGCATAAAAATTATACAAAGTACAAATCTGTGGAAAAGGTGGTTTTCCTTGTACTACGGCAGTCCCAGTTTTGCAGAATGATATCTAAATATATCTTCACAGGGGTATTTGTATCGAAAATAGATTCGTTTACATATTCTCGGATATTATTTCGAATTCCTCAGTCTTTATGTTGACAGGCGATAATGGATAAGGCTCTAAATCAATGCAAAGGCTATGGTTTCGTCGACTTCGAAAGCCGTGAAGCCGCTTCACGAGCCGTGGAAATGCTCACCAAGAATGGAATTCAAGCGCAAATGGCGAAGGTAATTATTGAAATTCCGTTTCTTTTCATATGTATATCACCAGCATTGTTTTTCTTGGTGATAGTGCTTTCATCTGATTTTGCGTTTAAGCAGCTTCAGCAGCAAGAACAAGATCCAACGAACCTCTATATTGCGAATCTACCGTCAAATTTTAACGAACAAATGCTTGAAAATGCGCTTAGTCCTTATGGAATGGTGATATCGACGAGGATTCTTCGAAATGCTGACGGCAATTCTCGTGGTGTTGGGTTTGCCAGAATGGACTCGAAGGCACGTCCTTTCTCGCTTTCCTGTCCCCTCTGAGCTTTTTTCTTAATTTTTCGTTGTTCGAATGCCTAAATTTTTCAGGAAAAGTGCGAGGAGATCATTGCCGCTTTGAATGGCAAGTTAATTGAGGGTATGGATCCGAATGCCACTCCACTACTAGTGAAACAAGCGGATACTGGCAGGAAGAACACTCGTAAAAGAAGTGATATGGGATTCGAATTGGGAATTTATCCGAGTCAGGTAGGTGTGGTTACTGCTGCGTTCTACTTTGTGAGGGTGAAAAATCCGCGATCGGTAATGGAACAACCTAGTTCGCCGCGGATGAAGAGGCGTGTCAGGCAGGATGGGTATGGCGCGGCGCCAGTCTCAACCTGCTGTCAAGATGTGGGATTCGAATTGGCTACTGAATCGGGTAAGCGACAACAACTGGTGGAAACGACTGATACGAATCATGTGATACCGCCTTGTCACTTGCTCGCTTCAACAGCCGGTGAGGAACGGTTTTGGCACCGCGCCAAACCCATCCCGCTTGACAGGCCCCTTGCCCGGGTCGACCAAAACCGCTTTCTTCTGCGCCCATTGTCCCCGATTCGAAACAGATACCTATACTTTGCGCATCTTTTTTCTCATTATTTGGGGATCCCTTCGCGAAGTGTAAACGCTCCTCACTGCTCAGCACCGCTAGTTTGGCCAGTAGATTGAACATTTCAGCCTTTCACAATGACTGCTCCACACGACTATATGAGAAACATGGGTGGAATGCCACAAATGTATCCAACACCATACGTAAACTATAGCATGGGCTATCCACAACAGGTCACGGGATACACACGTGAGTTTCTACTTTTCATTTCGTTTCTATTATATTCTTTTCCATTTTTTAATCGGTGAAAAGGTGACTAGAGGCGAGCCAGCTGGTTTAGTACTCATTTTCTGAGATATTCAATTAACTGGAGCCACTTTACGACGAGGGATAAAAGGGTTACCTCTTAGTAGTAGTGTAACAGACATTGGCGCAGTTTGGCGGCGGAGAACGGGCATTTTGCACTTTTTGCTGGCTTTCAGTTCCAGTTTAAAAGTCCTGCTCTTGTAAAACCTGTGAACCTTGTGAAGCTGAAGCAAGTTCGTCGAGTCACCATGGGAGAACCTGTCAACACTTGTAAGCTCACGAAATTTCGTCGAGCCACCATGGGAGAACCTGTCAACACTTGTAAGCTCACGAAATAGCTCTCTAGATGGCTCGACACATCGATGGTAAGTAGCAAAAGTGTAAATTGCCCCCCCCCCTCACGGACGGTTGGGCGTGTCAGGCAGTATGAGTGTGTCACCCCGTCAAAGCCGTTCTCTGCCTTCTTGTTGAAACGCGCATGCGACAAAAAGTGGTAGAAAACGAGTAATACGAAGGATATGATACAGTATTGTCACTTGCCCGCTTCAACAACTGGTGGAGAACGAGTTTGGCACCGCGCCAAACGCAGCCGCACTGACACGCCCAACCGTCCGCAGCGAACTACACTATATATACCCCTCTAAATGTTTTTTTTCAAGCCGGGGTGCTGCAAAGCGTCGTACAATCTTACGACATTTTGGCCACCTTGGATTACATTTCCTCACGTCTTATTTTCTGTTTCTTTAATGACCTTTTTATCTAATCAATTGGAATGTGTCCTCCTACGTTGATACGTGTAATTACAGCGTATGACGTGAATGCTATGACTAGCCAAATGGGTGGAATGCAAATAGGAGGAGGTGGCCCACCATCAGCTCAAGATAATGGTGGATTGTATATGCTACCACAACAAGGTTACTACGTGAATAGGAAGGTAAATCGTTGGATTGTTGCGTTTCCATGTCGTGTTTAAGTTTTAATGTAGAGTGTTGAACTGGATCCGGAAGGAATTCCGCTGTAGGAGTTTCCTTAAAGATACACTGCGAGATTATCCGAGAGGTGGATCCCCCTTATGTGAGTGTGTAGGTCCACAGCCGTAAAGCGGTAGCAGTTTCGTCGTAAGAAAGTGCGCAGTAGAGGTCGATGGTCTGATGTCCCTTGTGTCCCCGCCCACATTTCGTTACGCCATACGCACTCAACTGACACGCCATACGGCGGCCGTATGCTTAACCATACCATGTGCTTCACTTATCTGTATAGCTGGCCGTATAGCGTGCAGTGTGGCTGTTAAGTGTGAATGGCATAGTGAACGTTGGGCGGGGACATAGGAGACTGTGCGGAGACATAAAAGACACAACTACCGCACCCCCTAACTTCATCACTGCGTTTTTTCGAATGGCGGGGATGCTCTCCTTTCACGGCTGGCAGGGATGCTGATCTTTTCACGGCTACGGACCTGCCCACATCGCAGACAAAAGGGATTCACCTCTAACCGGGAAATCCGCCAACTTATCATGGAACTTTGAATGGGGACCTGGGTAGATCGATAGAGTCTATAAGGTTATTTACAAATATAGATAGCAAAACTGCAACCTGCATTTCACAAGCAACTTATGAGCAGGTAAAGTTTGTAATGGTGCAGTAGGGTGGAGGCTTGGTGGTGAGCTGTGAAGCATAAGCGAGGAATCCCATACGTCGAATCGAGTGGTTCAGTGGTAGGGTTCGACGTTCGACGACTCGATTCGACGTATGCGATTCCTCCCTTATGCCTCACAGCTCACCACCAAGCCTCCAACCTCTACGCAGCCATTTGCAAACTTTACCTGCTCATGAGTTGCTTCTGGTGGCAGATTGTTTGCTATCCCGTATATTTGTAAATAAACTTTATGGAGTCAATCGATCTACCCAGGTCTGTTCAAAGGTATTCAGGTTGGCGGACTTTCCGGTAATTTTTCATTGTGGGTATTTCAAAAATGATAATCTTGCTATCGGGCATCAAGGTCTTCTTTAGCAGTTAATAATGAGCAGAACAGTACGAAATGTAATGCAAGGCCCATCAGCGAAATGGTAAACGGTCACAATCGACAGCTATGGACATTTGGAGCAGTTACGACACCGCATGTTGACAGATCCATACAGAAAAATGAATGGCGGTCAGGTGAGCGCCATTCTCGTTGAGTTATGAGTTCCTTGACGGCGATATCAAGTGCAATGTTGCCCACGAATAGTATTCCTCGAATACATAAGTGGTCGAGTGACTCGTTGTGTGAACAACGATCTGCTTCTGGGATATGAGGGATTAATCTGGAGAGAGTGTTCTTAATACTGAACTGGACTCTTTAATGCATTGAGGCCGTTTTCTAGCTCTTATTTCTAGGCCTTGAGCAGCGTACTTTTTATACAGCCTATTGAAGAAGTGGAGTTTCAGATGAAAAATTTCATGTTTTTTTTTTGTTTTCCAGGAGTACACCCAGCAATAATTTTGGGATAGGTGTAACTGGGTTCACTAATCAAAGGTCATCGTTCTTCCGCGAGTTTTTCGATAAATGAATGCGCCGAGACTAAAAACGGGCACACATGTGATGCGCTATTGTGTGTCAATGATTTCATGGAAGAGTATCCTAAAAGTTTCAATATAATTAGCAGCACCTGAATATTCGGATAGGTGTAACTCAGGGCATTTGAGGCACAGCAGTGGCGTGGAAACTGCTTACCGTATTTCTAGAGCTGGTTGAGTGGGCATACAGTTTTAGTCACTGCTGATGCTGGAGTGTCAGGGAGGCTAAGTTCGTTGCAGCGCTTGGCCAGTAATACAGCATTCAAGTTTGGTGGAACCAGGGCAAACGACAACAATGGTGGCGAGAACGAGTTGGTCTCGCGCCAAAACCAGCTTCGTTACACCCCAGCCTCGCTGAAGAAACAACACATTAAGTTAAATAGCGTCATGATAAACTTGGTCTTATATGCCGCTTATATGGCCGACGTTCTTCTGGGCCATTGCCGCGCATGTTTTCACCTGTTGTGAGTTATGAGGATCACGGTTAGATCACAACCGATAGCTCGTCAGCTGTTCTGGTTATAAAATGGGATCGTAATTACAAAGCAGAAAATTCACACGGTGACCTTGAATTAGAGGGGAGTTTGTCGATTGTCATATCTTTGAATAAGGCGAAAGGCATTCAGATAATCGGTATGAACGTAGAATGCAATGACTCAGTCGATTTGACACCTGAGTGCTGTGCCGAAATTAGCTACGGTTGTCACAGTTCCTTAACAAGGCTAATGCCGTTTGGACTCCAGAAATTTCGTCTTCGAGCTCATTTTCAAATTGCCTAAGTCACCAAATCCACTAAAAACTTGTATATAGGGGTAATTCAACATCCTGATTACGAGTATGACACTCATTCTTGGCGCCAAGAGAGGGCACTACGATCACCTCCTGGGCTCAGCCTTAGCAGAGCGCAGGTAACCGTAGTGTCATCCATTAGCGCCAGCGCCAAAAATGAATGTCATATTCGTGATCAGGATGTTGAATTACCCCTATATACAAGTTTTTAGATTTGGTGATCTTGCCACTTTTAAAATGAGCTCGAAGACGAAATTTCTGGAGTCCAAAAACGGCATCAGCCCCTTAACAACTGAATCGGCGAGGGGGCGGGTCTGTATCACGTGGTTTTGGCGCGGCGCCAACTTTTTCTTACAGTCGCTGCCATATGAAGCGAGCTATGATTGGTGGAAAATAAGCTGACGCCACCTGTGAAATGAGGATCACACCGACTAATCAGTTGATTTGGTTTTAAAGGAATAGCTGTTTGCGCTCGATGTTCCGCCTCCTGTATCGCGAATTGCACTCTGTGTTCATACTTTGCGTCAGCGTTTTAGGCGCACGGCAGCGTATTGAGCGACTAAGAAAGTGTAGAGGTCGATCTAGCATTTTGAGCGTACGCCAGCGTTTTCAACCACTGCCCGCGAAACGCTCAAAACACGATCGTGAGCTGGAACGCTAGATCGATTCCTATAATCGATTCGTAATAGCTTAAAAAGCTGCCGTACGCTGGCGTACGCTTAGAACGCTGACGCAAAGTATGCACGCAGCCTAAGATGGACTCCTCCAAACAGACATTTTAATTGCTGTGCTCGAAACTGCTATTTTAATTGCGATTGTTTCAGGGACAACTTCAGTGACTGGCTGTTTGTCAGTGAGCTGTTGACTGCTATTTTTTCGGTCATGGTCTCATCGTCAATGTATTCATCGTATCATGTAGGAATTGATGATTTTGTCAAGCAGAGCATTATCCCGTGTTGTGGTCCTTGGCCTTTGAGATAGACACTTACACGAAATCAGCTCATATTTATCCATGTTGGTAGCGGTTGCGCGTGTACTAGAGCTTGATCGCTCACCGTGTTGCGTTGTTTGTGTCCATATGTCCACACTGCGCGCCACACTCATCATGTCCCGATATGTCGCATATTTAACCGATTTCATGTCTATACTAACTTGTTGGCAGATATCTGCTGTTGCTGTTCTTCTAAATGTTGTTTCTCTTCATCTGGGAGCATGGCTCGAGGTCCCGTCTTCGTTCTACTATTACCTTTCTTGTTCACATCTACACAATTGGTATAGTGGGCCTAGCTCAGCAGAGAGAACGAAACCTTCCCAAGAGAAAGAGGGTTAACCTATGCAAGAGGGGTATGTGACAAGAGAATCGTTATCTGCCGCACTGGCCGGCGTGGCAAGCGACGCCGCCCCGCGAGAGACGAGTTTTCCTGGTCAGCCATGCGAATTTGAATATTAAAGGGACGGAAAGGGTATTACTTGAGAACAATTTTGGTGCTTTATATCGTCGGCCGTGAAAGCAACAGAAGGCGGCCAAAACCTTGAAGTATGTGCGGAAATATGAAAAAATTATGCAACAATTCCGGCGAGTTTCGCTGCTTTAATCGAGAAACTGACGCACAGTTTGAATTTCCCGCGCTCATCGCCGGATTTCCCGCCGTCCATCGACGCCCCCATTCAAAACTTCCCGCGTTTATGGTCGGACAGCGCGCCGCGTGCGACGGCGCGGCAAATTGCGGTCCTCTTGTCCGTCTCCCATGCAAAGAGTGTTCGACGCAGTTCGCCGACACTAACAGTGTCATCAACTGTATAGATTGTTGTTCCATACATACTTCTACTTGAATTCTTCTTCTTATTGTGAAGTGTTACTTTGTAAACCATTGTCTCTCATCATCATAGTTTTGTGTGTCGTGTGTGTCGTTCGTTGTGTTACATACTCATCTTGTGTGTTTCCTTTGTATGTTTCCAGCACCTCAATCTCCTCATAGTTACCACCACAAGGACGTCCGGGTCAAATTCTGCGCCCTGTCATGACATTCATAAGACCCTGGCGTAATGTCGACGCACGTCCCATAAAAAGGCCGTAAATTGTCAGTTGGTTTTGTTTTCTTTTTTTCACATATTTTCATCCTGAAGTTTTTATCCCCTGTTTTACCCCCGTCACATTTTAGCCCTTGAATTGCACAACATGATTACGCGCTGTTTTTCCCCCACTCGTTTTTTCCTTCTTATATTGTCCTCCATGTTGCGGAGCAATTGTACACTTCCCTTGCCTCGTTGTGCCTTGGCTCTTACAATTTCGCTCTCTGTTTGAATAATAATGTTCTGGATTTTTCTTCATTTTTTTTGTCTTTTGGGAGAGTATTCTATGATGACCGCCTATTGTCTTGAAATGTAGTTCACATCCGTCATGTTTATACCTACTACACAGAGTTCTCAAAATAATTTCATATGTTGTAAATAAAGACAAGAAATAAAGCATGAACGGAAATTGATGTTGTGTTCATGAAATACACGCTCTTTTAGCGCATAAACAGGGCGCCAGTTTAAATTGGAGGGGCATTTTGCTAGTCTCCAGCGATCACTGCAGATGCCTGTTGTGGTGACCTGTTAGCTCCTGTAAAGCTGCAATGGCACAAGTTTCGTTTACGCTTGATAAGAGTTTACAGGTCTCGTCAAGTTCTGACCTGTAAATTTAGTCAGGCAACTTGCAGTGGAAACTATTCGAAAGGACCAAAATCGCTTCCTCCCAAGCAGAACACGCGGCTTTTCAACTCGTCCACAAATACACATTCTCTCCCTCTGGCGGCCTCAGACTTCTGCCTTACAAATATTCTCCGGAAGCTAACAATACTCCAGGAAGCCGCCCACCTGGCAGGGACACGCCCCCGTGATGGCTCACCACACAGCCACGGATACTTCCGTCTCACGGCCAGGCAGCTCAAGACCTACTGTATTCGACTCAGCCCGGAGCAGCTGCTTGATTTCCATGGTGCAGGTTTCTGGAGAGCTAGGAAACACACCACTTGTTTGCGCACGATACCGCAACTCTGATGTAATTAGCTAAACTGGCGGAAATAGAGTTACATTAGGTATGGATCTGTGCTCAGCTGAAGGTAGCACCTCTAAAGCCGAGTGAAAGGGTTCTGCTGGCATGGGTGCCAATTTTCATCACGTGTGTGTAAACCCCTACACCTGGGAAATGACCTGCGAGATCCTTTGTCTCGAGCCTGGGCACAAATTTATTGATGTACTATTACATGTTAGGCAGTCAAGCGGTCCGACTATAGCCTCCTGCAAAACATCTTTTCCTTGGTGGCTTTAAGCATGGGTATCTCAAATCTCCTGAGGGCAGTTTTGCAGTGTAGCCAAACCGACTCAGAGATACGCTCGGAGAGTGAGCAGCAACAGGGCTCTTTTGACGCGCTTGAGTTCAGTCTTTCGGTTTTCCTGCTTGAAAGCCTATTTCATATTTCCAGAATTGCCCTTCCGGCTGACACTTAATGCTGGCGTTCGAAAGACGTTGGCAAAAAGCGGACAAACCTTACACATGCCCATGGAAAAAAGGAGTTCAATCGGTATCCCTTGACCATGTACGCATCCCAGACAAAGCTAGTTCTGACGAGAAATCTGATGAACATGACTACCTCTTCATATGGTGGTCTCCATAGGGTTTTAGTAGTGTCCTGAGATCGATTGTCACCTCCTCGGGACCATGGCTGAGCCTTCTGTGATGCATCCCCGCTAGGATAAAGACAATCACATCAGCCGCCACCCATGACACGACGCTCTAAGGCTCTGCGAGACTTATGCGCAAATGAGCTCCGAAGTTCTCGTTGTCGCTACTGGTTCAGGACCTCGGCGGCAAAAGGTCTTTTTGTAGATATAGTACGACCTAGAGCATCATAAATTGACTAGCTCTCGACGACCAGAGCCGGGCCGGGCGGGCTTTTTTTTTAAAATTACAAGCTTTCCACTTGAATGATGTTGCGAGCAATATCTATCGCAGTAATTCACACATCAAGCTTATTCTGAAGCCAACCCGTCTCGGATAAGGCCATATCACCCAATCACGAAGCACTGGCTGGCTACATTAGTTGTGAGTTATCCAGCTGAAGAAAGCAATTGAGCAGCGGCCAGCTG